GATTGCCTTCCATCATGAGTGCTGTAGCTCACCGGAAGCTGGCCTTGCAGAAACTAGCTAACACAAAGATTGTTTTCCATCAGCATTCTAATCAAAGTTTCCAAAGCGATCAGCGCTAGTTTTCACTCTTCCTCTGCAGAGTGAGTAGGGTTGTTTTCTGAAATGTTTTCGTGAGTTTCAGGTTAAAGACTTTCTGTCTTGACTAGAGAAGAGTTCTGAGGCCCCAGGGGCACAGGCAGAGAGGGGTAATACACATACAGACTTCCTTCACAGGTCCCTAGAAGAATCTTGTAAACAGTTACCAGTCACCATTATATGGACTGAGCTGACCAAGAATCAGATGAATAAAATACATGGATTATCACCTAAGAAGGGCTGAGTCCACAGGGTGTGAGGTCCAGAGGAGCCCAGTAAACAGGCTGGGGGGCAGGCACTTAAAGATACAGGCATTCAAACATCACTGGGGATATATTCTAGTAGCCAGCATTTCTTCTGCTCAGAAGTCCATTTGGAATCTTCTCCTCATGTAAAGCGAAACTTAGCAAGCATACCTAGAAGAAATGACTGTGGAAATTCAAAGTAAGGTCTTGCAATGCCTTCCAGTCAGCATTCCTTATGATGCCACCTTACCACACATGATTTAAAAGCCCCTGACGGCATTCATGGTATTAGGCTGGGTCATGAGAACAGAACAGGGAAATTCTTATCTAAGTGCTTACAGTTTTCTTTAGTAGGCCTGGCATCAGCAATTACAAGATTACAAAAGAACACAAAAATACAAGGACTAAGTATGAACAAATAATGATTCATGTACGAAAATGTCGTTTTGAAGCCTGTTACTTAGTAAACTAACTTAAACTTGAAAATATCAAAATTTAAAAAATATACACATACTAGCTATATAACAATGAATATTACTGATTTTATTAGCAATGCCCTAAGGGCTCAAGCAAGACCAATCTCTGTGAAAAAGGTTTTCCTAGAACTTTTAGGCTTGAAAGAGTCAAGATTTGAATAAATGAAGAAAGGTTTATCCCAGTAGGCATACAAGTTATTATTATAAATTACCTCAAAATTTAAAGGCTCAACCTCAAAACATCCATTTCATTGCGCCACATTCTCTGTGGGTCAGGAATGCGAGTGTGGTAGCTGACTCCTCTGCTCCAGAGTTCTCCTCAGGTTACAGCTTGATTAGAGGATCTACTTTAAGCTCACGCACACGGTATTGATAGCTTGTGCTAGTCATTTCTGATCGTTGTGATAAGACACCATGGCCAGGACAGCATAGAAAAGGAAGCATTTAATTTGACTCATGATTTCAGAGGATTAGAGTCCATGATGGTGGATCAAAAGAAAACCTGAGAGCTCACATCTTGATCTACAACCATGAGGCAGAGAGTGGGGTGGGGGAGGGAGAGAAGAAGAGAGAGAACTAGGAACTGCATAAGTCTTCTGAAACCTCAAATCCCTTCCCTGGGACTTCTTCCAAGGTCACACTTCCTAATCCTTCCCCACCAACTGGTGACCAAATATTCAAACACACGAGCCTATGGGGCCATTCTCATTCAAACCATCACACAACCTGAGTCCTCAACATGGGGCTCTCCATAAAGCTCTTCTTTTTAAAAAATTAATGAAAACTTTTCCTTTATTTACATATCAACCACAGTTTTCCCTCCCTCCTCGTCTCCCATTCTGTACCCCCTCCTCCCGTCCCATGGACCCCTTTCCCCAACCACTCCTCCTCTGTCTCCATTCAGAAAGCGGAAGGTCTCCCATGAACATCAACAAAGTATGGCACATCAAGATGAGGCAGGACCAAGTTCCTCCCCCTGAATCAAGGCTGGGCAAGGTGACCCAGTATGGGGACTAAGGCCAGGACTCTGAGGAAAGGAGTCATCTGCATTAGAAGCTACAGCCTTTCCGCAGTCTATCTGGGAAGAGACATTCCACAACTGCCATATTCCTTTAACAGTGGTGAGTCGGTAAGTGAAGCTGCATTGAAGAGGAAGGGTTACATCTAAGTATGAGTACCAGAAGCAGCGACCTTAGGAGCTGCCTGTGGTAAGGGATTGGAGCAGAGAGCATGGAAAGAGAAGTCTAAAAGTTGGTATAACCGACTTGTTGAAAGATCTCTGGCTATGAGGCAAGGAGATGTGAGTTTATCTTACAGTAGACCAAGATGTTGTTGCACATATAAAACACCTTGGGGAAACTGTTTCAAATATATGTTCTTGAGCTTGATGTACAGTTTCTAATTCTGGATTCCCGGGGGAAGGTCCACAATCAATTAACTAATTGATTATGTTTTTGAGACAAGTTGCCCATATGCAGCCTGGTCTGGCCTTTAACACATCCAGATGCTCCTTCCTAACTTCTCCAGCACTGGAATTATCAACTCGTACCACTATGCTTGAAACAAGTATCTTTTCACAGCAAGTGCCCACGGTGACTTTGATGCAAGTAATCCAAAGGCCTGCTGTGAGAGCCCCTGTGTGAGCAGACAAGGAAGAGCTGGGGTTTTGTTTGTTTGATACAGTACCTGGGATTGAACCCAGGGCCTTGCTTCTTGTCTCTTGCCCTGATTCATGGAAACAGCCAGTAGCTGTGGTCACTCTACCTCTAGAACAATGATTCTCACTCAATTCCATCCTAATATTTGAATCACCTGGGGGAAATTCTTTGAGAATATCAGTGTCTGGTATATATTTCCAGAGGTTTTGATTCAACCTGCATTGACATTCTGGCTTCTAGAATAACTCAGGTAACCCCTTGCTTCCTGTCCTCTAAGACTGAAAATGACTGATCTAAGCAAAGTCTTCTCTGCATCATCCAAATTGATGTCATCAGTATCACCTAGTTGTTTTTCCAATTGAGAAATCCTACATATCACCCAATATCTACTAAATCAGAATCTGTGTTTTAACAAGGTCCCTGAACAAGTTATATTTGCCCATATATAATTCATAGATCATCCACTGAAATCCAGCCTCTCCTCCCACCAGCTTAAGATCAAGTTGGAAATATAACATGAGTCTTCAGTGCACGCTTACATCTCATTACAAGAAGAACAGTAGAGGATAGGAGGAGAGGGCTCACCCAATCCCTCACAGCAGTGGTTCTCAACCTTCCGAATGCTGCTGCCCTTTAACCCAGCTCCTTACGCTGCAGTGACCCCAACCATAAACTTATTTTCATTGCTACTTCATAGCTGTAATTTTGCTACTGTTATGAATCATAATGTAAATATTTGTGGAGACAGAGATTTGTCCAAGGGGTCACAACTCACAGGTTGAGAACCATTGCTTTATAGGCTACATAGGGACATGTTGAAATGGGAAATTTTAAAACATGAGCTTGGGATAAGCAAGTAAAACACAGCATGCAGCCAAGGGAGAAAGACATACTAGGAAAAACAGTCACTATGTCCCCAGTGTCCTGAGAGAATCCATACGAAGAAGAAAAAGAGAGAAAAGGGAGAGGAAGAAGAGGAGGAGAATGGAGAAAGGAGAAGGAACGAGAGAGAGAGAGAGAGAGAGAGAGAGAGAGAGAGAGAGAGAGAAGAAAGGAGAAAGAAGAGAATTAAAGTAAAGGTGTAGAGCAATTCCCAACCTACAAGTAGGAAGCCTTTATATGACACCCAAACCTCATACTTAAGTGGAGACTCGCCCACTAAAGGCCTCACCCAGTGTGAACATGGACCAAACATCTCTGCAAAAATCCTGAAGCCAAATGAATGACACAAAAATTGTCTATTAATTTTATATTG